TCGTCAACAACGTCATTCCACAAACGATGACCACCATGGGACAACTCTATCAGGTAAGAGGAAACAGAAAAATCTTCATTAATTAGAAGGACAAAATATCGGCTAGAAGCCGTTAAATTTGAAACTGTTGAATTTGAATTTGAAACTAAATGGCTAACGTTAACTAATTAGCTGAATGGGACTTGTTAATCAAATAAGTTAAAACACGGACACAAATTAAAAAACACAAATTTTTTCTTCATAGTAAAGTGTTTTCTAACCACCTTTAGCTTCTGCGATTAGCCCAATTTTGTTTTGATTAACTCGAGGCTTGTGATTCCCTCAGCGAGTTTCACCAAAATTAGGCTAATTGAGGGTAAAACTGGCGGAAGATTACGGTAGTTTTGGCCGAAATTGATTGTTTGTCTGTAAGGCTTTTCTTTTAGCCTTACAGACTCAAATTGAGTGTCTGTAAGTAAGGCTTTGTCTTATAAAACCATCTTATAAAGCTGTGCTAGGGGTTTTAAAAGTACTTTTAACCAGGTCAGATCAATTTACGTCCGCATTCATTCGAATCAGTTTTCTGTCCGAGAATTTCTAATTTACTCAGCAAAGGCTACATTTTACATTTGCATTTCTAAAGATACAATTCTAAAGAATTTTAAACCGATTCTAGGATCACCACGAGGAGGATCTTTTCCTCTACATCGACTACTCCCATGAGAGTGTTTATGGGGCAGATGAGTGAATGAACGATTGAATGAATGAAGGAAAACACGAGCAAATATCGACTTAGCTATTCAATTCGAACTCTTTAAAAGAACTCTTCAACGTGTTTTTTAAGCGTGTTTTGTTCAAAACATTGGATTTTGCATTTAAATTATTTGTTCTCAAGATCGGACATCCGATTCCGTAAGAATGATCCTTCTCCTCCGAAACGTTTCAGAGGAGTCTCTGAGTCGGACCTCCGTTTCAGAGGAGAATGAATCGCCTCAGATTCGGACGTCCGGAACAGATCAACAAGAACAGAAAAAGCTTTTGGCACAGGTAAATTAATGTTCGAATTGTTTAAGTTTAGGTTTGTTTGATGTTTGGAATTGTTTAGGTTTTAAAAACTGTAAATTTATAAGCTGATAATATTTTCAGAAAGTTTAGGTACCTATTTTTGATGTAGAAAGATCTAGAAAAGACCGAGTGTAAACAAAAACAAAAATTTTCCCTCTCCCTTTCCTCTCCCTTTCCCCTCTTCCGCATTTCTCTTTTGAGAGATTTTTAAAGTCAATGATTCAACTTCTCTCACTAGAATTCCTATTTTATAAAGTTAAGCTTCCCCGATTTACTCTTTTCTTAATAACTTAACGGGAAATGCGAGAAATTAAGTGCACCAAAAAGAATGTGTTTAAAGGTATTCGAAGAGCACAAAGTGCACCTCTGTATGAGTCAAACAAAGTTCTCTCCTCTCTCAGCTTTCCCAACCTCCCCCCTCCAAAAAGGTCTCTTCTCCCTTCCGTAGTTTCTAGTATTTCTCTCCCTTTCCCCTCTTCCGCATCTCTCTTTTCCACATCTCAGTTCCCCGTCTTCCTCTCGATTCTCAGCGCATTTGAAAGGGCTTGTTTTGTGCGAGGCCAAAGCATCCTTCCCAACGCACAACCAAACATGGATGGAGAAAGATGAGGTGAAGATTCACGATGGATCGCTGAGTCCGGAAGAGATTGAGGCAAGGCAGTTGGAGGGGAAATCGAGAAGAAAATGCGAGCGACTTTTGGCGATGAAAGGCGATTGATAGGTTGGCGGTGAAATTTCGATGGGTTTTTGGGTTTGGGTTTTTTGTTTTTGTTTACACTCGGAGTGTATTTCGGTTTTTCACGGACTAACAATGGCTTTAGAACATTGTAACACGATTTTTGCTGTGAAAATTGACTCACAGATCAGCTAATATTATCGAAATGGTGCCAGGAGATTGCAATTATCATAATTCGATTATCGCAATTGATGTTAGAACTCTAACAAAAGCTTTTCCTTTGATTAAACTGTGATTTTAATGAAGAAATCTAAAGAAAGAAGACTTACAGACGTCTCTCCGCTGTCGCTACATGCTTTCCGATCTTCCACCGAGATCCCGACGCGCCATTTGCAAGCGAATGGTGGCACGGATGAACAGGTCACAAATCTTTTCCTAAAGCAGAAAAAACGTCTGCCTGTCTGTTTGTCCGTCTGCCTGTCTGTCACAAACACTTTCCTTGACGTCCAGATCGAATTTCGAGATGCCGTTTCTTTTTGTTCCATAGGGAATTTTATGCTGATTCCAAATCAAGAAAATCCAAAAAAACTGAAAAACTAACTTCAATAAATCACGATTTCACTTCGAATTGCAGGCAACGGGTCTCCCAATGTTCCTGGTGCCGGCGCAGAGTCTTGCCACCTCAGCAGCAGCTCATTCAGCCTCGCAAATCCCATCCCAGACACCGAATCAATCACAAACACCATCCGGACATCATTCACATATAATTCGTATACAGGTTGGCATTTGATTCACCGTCTTCTCTCTTCTCTACGTCGGCTGGCTTTACCAAGCATCTAGGCAAAGCTAGAATCTAGATCTTTACCTTATTTCTCAACAAAATCAAGTCCTGAGCTTCTGATCCAAATTTGGCCGCCTAGAAATCTGTTTGAAATCTGCAAAACTAGACAAGCACTTCTAGAAGATAAACTATAAAATAGCCACCTTGGTAAGTTGAAGTCCTCCAAAAAGCGATCAATTAAATCTAGAAGGTTCTCGAGATTTTGAGGAATGTAGACGAGGTTTTGGCTGCACTGATAGAAAGAATACAGTAGAATGTAGAGAAATTCTACCCCAGAGGAGTCGTGGATTCGTCCCCGAGAAAATTAGTTTTGCTTTTTCTTTTCAAAATGAATTTACTTTATATAAAAGGGAAGAGACGTCCTTTTGTCTAAAGAACATTATACGCGACATTTGCTACAATAAAGTTCTCAAATAACCTATGGAAACATCCCTTTTTACGGCTGCATGTCCCCCATTCACAGAGCTTTGATCTGGGTGATGGGGAAGAGTGTTCATTGATTATTGGGGGAAGAGTGTGCATTGATTATTGGGTTCATTGATAAATAATTGGGTTTCAACTTTTGGTCAAGTTAATCAAAAGCATTACAACTAATCATGGTTTGCTCTATGGAAAATAAAGAACAAAATCCTTGTTCAAAGCTTAGTTCGCAAAGTCAGCAAATTGTGTCTATTCTGGACTTCAGCCATTGACGCCGCAGCCTACAGCTGGCCATTGACGTGTTCTTTGTGCCCACTTTGAATCCCGTACACACCCCCTCTCTGGTGCACTCAATTCTTCCATTTCCCCTCGTAGCACCAAACAGTTGCGACCGGGAATTGTGCTGCCAGAAGGGGTTCACAGGATTTAAGAGAGTACAAAGTGCATCCTCATCTTTGCATGATTATCTTGCTAAAGCCAAGGCTAGAGTCGTTTACTTTGAAACTTTGCTTTTAAATTTCCATTTCGCTACAAAAATCATCTAGAATCTTGTAGTATTCGTTCAAAGGAATTTCTCAGCTCTTTAAACCCCAAACGGTTTGATAGGCTCTTTGAAGTAAAAAATTCCCCCGAAAGAGTTGCCGAAAAAAAAAAAAAAAAAACGAAAGGTGAACGGGCACTAAGTTTACACCCTACTCTGATTATATACTATCCCCAAATTCCAAACATTTTTCAGGTTGATAGCTGCTCTAGAAAAATCAAGAATACCTTACTGATTGCTTCTATTTTCTAGCTTCTATTTTCTAGGGCTTCTTTAGAACTTATCTAGAGCTTCCAGAGCTTATCTAGAGCCTCTAGAGCCTCATAGAATAATTGTTACACCTAAATTTTTCGATGCGCCTAGGTATCATTTGAAGAGAGAAAATAAGTGATTTTTTGAGATATAACACATCTTTTTAACATCAACGAGCGCTTAGAAAAAATTATTAAAAGATGATAATACTCGAGTGTTGTGTTGTGTTGAGATTGTTTGAGTGGACCGCGACGCTTCTGTAGGGCTTCTATTAGAGTATTTACTTTTTGAGTCTATCAGGGTAATATATTATAGAGAAACTCTCATTTAGCAAGAAAGGGATCGACCTGAAAGAGCTACGAGAAATTCATGTAAGTTGAACAAAGTGCTCGAATTTGTAAACGCTTCGTTCAAACACGGCAATGTTTTCATGGGGAAATGGAAAAAGCGAAAAAAACGAACTCTTAAACGCAAAATTGAGCTGTAGTTGATTACTTTGAAACTTACAACTCTAATGCAGAAGAATTGTTTTAATAGGGTAATGAAAGAAGCAGTTGAGGCTAGAAAGAAGCGATTTTAATTAAGTAAAGACGGCCCAGCACCAGTACATTAAACTCAAGGTTTTAGCTTGAAGTTAAATTACTTTGAAACTCACACTAAATATTTTGAAAATCTGTTTACTCAAAAAGCTTTTTTTGGATTTGAAACAAAACAAAAGCAATCAAAAATGACAAAAACAAAAACAAAAACTCTAAAACTTTGAAAGTTTTAAACTACTTTAACATTCTAGAATTGTTTTAATGAGGAAAAATAAAGTTAGAATTGAGAAAAACAGTCAAATATGACTTTTTATTTTTATTTTTATATCTTTTAAACTCTTCAATTTCTAAAGATATTCAATCAAGCTGAAGAATTAAAGTAAGCTATTTTCATTCTTTCATTGTTTTGCTGAAATGAAAACCCTTTCCCGAGAAGCGTATTTTTTAAGGCAAGCTCCTTATTAACTCATACTCTTTAAATATGAACTCACTCACCCCATTTTCGGGCCCTCTGCTGGGCCCAGGCTGGAGAGGCATTCTCTGTAGTTGCATTTCACCAATTGGAATTTGTTCAGCATAGCCACCAAGAGTGTTGTTGGACAAGCTACTTGATTGTTTTTGTAGTGGATTCTTTGGTTGAGGACATTGTATTCCAAGATTTATTCCAGTCAAATTTATTCCAATTTATTCCAATTCCGATGAAGGTCCTGCCGAGTCAGGGCCATTTGTCCATCGTTGTCCATCGGTGTAAGCCTTCGGACATCCTTGATAACCGCGCAGGTAACGCTTCTAAATTGTGGTACTTTGTTAAAATCTTCTTTTATTAGCTCACCTCATCTGAATGGGCGTTTTGGTGTTTGGCTCGAACTTGCTCACTGATTGATTTTACACTAACAACCTCAGCTATGTCTTGATCTTCTTCATAGCCAGCAACCCGCATGCGTCCAGTTTGTTCATAAAGCTAAATCTGCTTTGTTAATGAACGTTCTTTTTGACGAACCGGCCCGAAGTTGCCACTTCTGTAGATTTGATTGCCTTCACGTCTCCCTTCTGGAAGTCCCAGCTCAATTGCTTCCGATTCTGCGACTGAAATCAAGTGTTTTGATTTGCGAAATAATTTCGTAACAAACTTTCTCCCAATTCTGCATCAGCAGTGAGATATCCTTCAACGTTGAGCCGAAGCCCACTGATCGGCTTCTCGTTTCCACTTTTCGCACTCGTCTCACCTTCTCGCCCTCCAGAGCCAGGCCTGATGTTGCTTTCACGATATTTTGAGCCACAACCCTTCTTGCTCTTAATCATAATATTAAAATGTTAAAATTAATTTTGTGTTTTTTCTAAACCTTTTTCGGCCATCGTTTGCCAGCTTCCATTAACTTGTTCATTTTCTTTTTCTTTTCATTCATCTTATCACCGTGACTCCCTCTAAAGTGCTTGCGGAGGCTTCCTCGATCGGTGTAAGCCTTCGGACATCCTTCATATTGACACTTGAAACCCTTCTAAATTGTGGTACTTTGTTAAATTCTTCCTTTATTAGCTCACCACATTTGAATGGGTTTGATTTTGGTGTTTGGCTTGATCACTATAATTACTGAACGCCTGAAACAATGGATTGGCCTGTATTGAAGTGATTGTATACCTTTCCACATTCGGTACACTTGTATGGCTTTTCGCCGGTGTGAGATCGTTTGTGGACTTTGAGATCCCCGACGCGCCTGTATTCCTTTAAACATCCAACCACTTCACATCTGTGTGGTTTCTCTCCAGTGTGCTATCTTACGTGACCCACCAACTTGTAGTTAGCTTCGAAGGGCTTCTTTTTTCTAAAGTCCACTTGAAACTTTTAGAGTTATTAGGTTGTTGAAAAGGAAAGATAAAAAGGAAGGAAAGGCTTATTCACCTAATATTTGAGCACTTACCTCTTACAATCTTCCCACTCACAAATGTACTCAATAATTGGATTGACATGAATGGTTTTAACATGATCATAGAAGGGCTGAATTGGGACGATTTTTGGGAATAATAACTATACACACTACCTGTTTGGTTGTGAACTCTTTCCCGCATGTTGCCCATTTGCATACAAACTCTTCCATCGACTCGATGTCGACCGTGGCAGGCTCTGCTGAGCTCTCTGGATCTTCCACCGGTGGAAGGGCGACAACAAATGCGGGAGCAGTGGAGACTGAAAATAGCTATTGAATAGGAAAATTGAAAAGATAATTCGGTATCTACCCCTAAGATTCTGGCCTACATGAGGTATAAAGTACGAATTAGTTACCTGATCGATGTTGTTTTTTTTTTTTTTTTTTTTTTTTTTTTTTTTTTTTTTTTTTTTTTTTTTTTTTTTTGTTTTTTGGGACCACCCCCCGAAACGGAGGAGGACCGGGAGAACCCCCAAATAAAAAAAAAAAAAATAAAATTAAATTATAAAAAAAAAAATTTTTTTTTACCCCTTTTATTAAAAAATAAGGTTTAAAGTTTTTCAGCTAATTAAAAGATCAAATTGATTGCATCAAAGAAATCTCGTGTACTTGTTGAATGTTGCGATATTCCTAAATCAAAGTTGCATTCTGGAATGCACACTAGTTAATGGATGCGTTTTTCGGGGTACTTTTTTCATTCTTGGTTGAGTAACTCGATTTTGAGATCAAACTAGTTGAATATAGTTGAATCTTTCTCTATTCCTGAAGCAAAGTTCCATTCTGGAATGCACACTAGCTAATGGATACTTTTCAGGTGTGCTTCTCCTCATTTTCAAGGTTAATACTCAAAAAGTCAACTCAACGAATAAAAAAAACGAAAAATTTAGGCATTTAAATTAAAAATGAATGACTCTCTAAATTTGGTTCATTATCTCTCTTAGTCTTGCACACAATTTATATCTGGTTTTGTTTCCATTGGAGCAGAGGGCAATGGTAATCTCTCTGGAGATTTTTCTGGAAGTCGTATGCTGGAAAGCCTACGCAAAAAACAGAAAAAGGCTCTGAAATCACAACTTCCTTTTTGTTTACCATGGTGATATCTAGTATAAGAGCAAAAAAGGTTCAAAAATTGCTAATGAGGAGGAGCGATGTTCCCGAGGGAGAATCTTAAAGTTAGAATATTGGGAGAAGGCTTATCAGATGCGAAAATCGAGAATTTTATGGGAAAAAGATTGTTTTTTTGAATTCTATCGTCCATATGCAACTAAGCTTATCTCCAGTTTCTACAGAAGGCTTATCTTGAGCTTCTGCTTGAAATCCTTGTCAAAAAACGAACCCATTCTCGCGTCTGATTGTGGTCGACGAATGCCGATGGCTGGGCTGAAATTTTTACATTTTATCATTCTATTTCTTATTTAAACTACCGTAATCCATTGATTTACAATAAAATGATGATTTAATGATTTAAAGAGCTTTTTAAATGATAAGAGCTTATCTAACAAAGGCTAAGGCTAGCTATTGTGAGATTGCGAGATCGTTTGCTGGCAGAAAGTTGAATCTGCATAAAGCTAAGGCATAAATAAAGCTAAGGTTGGCTAAGCCTTAGCTAAGGCTAATCCATTTTCAATTCGATTCTTGTCTCTTTCTGTCTTTTCTACTGTTTCAAATTGTCCTACTGTAGCTTTTCTGGCAACTCTAATCAAATTTACCTATTGGAATCCCTTTGCCCAACAGTCCCTTTGTTGAAAGTGTTTTCAGAGACTTGTATAAGATTTGGAGAGGCATTGATCATCTCCTCTCCTCCAGCACTTCCACTATTCGCTGTAGCTGGTCGACTAAGTTGCTGAAAAGACTTTCAAGTTAATCAACGAGCTACGCTTCACCTGTCCAGCTATACTCCTTTGACTCAAACTGAGCGCGGCAGCTAAAGCAGCGCTGAGCGGAATTCCAACTAAAACGGTTGCCGCCGAAATTTTCCTCATCGTATTTTCTTGTTGATTAGCAGCAGCTTGAGCAGCAGCTTGAGCGGCAGCTTGAGCAGCAGCTTCAGCAGCAACAGCTTGAGCTTGCTGTAACAGCTGTAGTTGCATCCAAAGATTCATTTGGCTTGGAGCTGGATCAACAGGAACCGCTGGACGCGGAGAAATTGCATCAGTAGGTTGTTTGAGGGTCTAAAAGGATAAAACGATTATCTAGAATGGATAAAGATTGACTGATTTTGTTTAGATTTCTCTATTAATTTCTTTTTAAACTCAGAATTATCTTAAAAACCTCAGAATTTCTTTTAAAAGCTTAGAATTACTTTAGAAACCTTAGAATTATATTTTAAACCTCAGAATTATCTTTAGAAACCTCAGGATTTAACCGAAATCCAGGTGGAAGGCCAAGAGGAGCTGGAGCTGGGGCTGGAATAGATGTTGCCACAGATCCTTGTTGTATCATTTGTTGCATACGAAAAGCATCTAATCCAGTAATATTTCGAGATGAAAAATGAAATTTCTACAAATGGAATGAAATTTCTCCTATTTTATAAAAATTTCTAAACAAACTAAATCAATTTCGAAATGTTTATTGCTTGGTTTCTTTGCTTTGCTGGCTTTGAAACCTTTTTTGATCAAATTTTAGAAGAATTGGATTAAAATAGGCTTTAAAATTGCTTTTAATTATATAAAAATTGATTTAACAGTGGTCCACAAAAGGAATGCCCTATTGCCATTCAACACTAGGTTTTGTAAGGAAATCTTGCAAAATCTTGCAAATTGATCCCTCATCATTTGGCGTTCATCGGTTGATGTTTTGTTCGGATTGTTTTGTGGATTGTCACCATTTGGATCACGGCTCGATCTCCTTTAATTGTTGTTACGGGTCGTCGGCCACTCTTGAGGCGATGAAGGTTTTTGCGGATTAAGAAAAAATGCGGCGCACTGCGGAGCAATTGAAGAGGTTGGCCACGCCCTTTTCCCGCATCCCATTTTCCCGGGGCTTAGCGATTTGGAGCTTCTTCGGCGTCCCAAGATTTTTTATTTGAGGGATCTAAATAATACAATAGAATACATTTAGCGTTTATAGAAGGAGAAACAAGAAGAATAATCGATCAATGGGGCATTAGTTTTGTGGAGTTTTAGGGGTAATTCCACATCGATTGAAGGGATCTCAATCAAATTTATTTAACAATTAGAATTTCTAAAGTATTTTTAAATAGGAGGAATTTTTTAGGAGGAATTTTGCAAAAAAAGACTTTTGAATTACTTTTGAATGGCATTACTTTTGTGGACTATTGTATTACTTACAATAACAAGTAGAGATTCAAATTTTCTTTTAGACTTACTATTTTGAGCAGCAGCTAGAGCTTGTTGAAGTAAAAGAGCTTCTAGACTTCCCGGTTTTGCAACATTAGGCGATTGAACTTGCGGTTGTTTTAACTAAAAAAGGAAACCAATAAAAGTGCAATAAAGTAAAATAATTACTTTCGTGGAGTAAGAGCTAAAGCATGTGAGGTGACTGGATCAGATCCAGCCACAGATCTAGCTACAACTCAAGGTCTAGCTACAGATCAAGCCCGGCCCAAGGTCCAGCTACAGGTCAAGCTACAGATCAAGGTTCAGTCACAGATCAAGCTACCACTCAATATACAGCTACAGATCTAGCTACAGATCTAGCTACAGATCAAGCTAGAGCTCAAGGTCCAGCTACAGATCTAGCTACAACTCAAGGTCCAGCTGCAGATCAAGCTAGAGCTCAAGGTCCTGCTACAGATCAAGCTACGACTCAAGGTCCAGCTACAGATCAAGCTCCGGCCCAAGGTCAAGCTAGAGATCAAGCTACAACTCAAGCTACAACTCAGATCTAGCTGCAGCTCAAGGTTAAGCTACAGCTCAAAATTCAATTCCTATTTTATTACAAATCAAACCTGAATACCGGGAAGATTGATGGGTTGCGGAGGTTGAACAGCGGCTGGTTGATTGGGGGGAGATTTGCCACCTAGACCAACCATTGGAGCTGCAGGAGTAGCTGGAAAACTTTTGTAAAACTTGAAATCTACTTTAACCTTCAAGCAAAAATTGAAAACTTCAGAAGATCAGCTAAAAACGGCTAACCAAAATTCGATCCTTGCGATCTTGCTGAAGGATGTTGATTTAAATGTTGATTCAACAAAACGACGCGAGATTGTTGTACGCCCAAGTTGAAGAAGAATCTGGGAACAGATTGTACAATAAAGATTTTAGTTTTAGATAGATTTGTTATAGTTTGAGGAAAGTATAGTTTGAGTTCATGGAAATTTGTTCAAATCAATTTGAAATTTGTTCAAATCAATGTTCAAATCCTTTATGCTGCTGACTTTTCTAGACTTTGTCCTCATTTCTTGACTTTAGTTGTACTTTGTTGTCAGCTGTATGTCAGCTCTTTGTCAGCTATCAGCTCTCTGTCTGTTGTCTGTCTGTTGTCAATCAGCTCTCTCAGCTCTCTCTCAGCTATATGTCACTAACTCCTGTTTGTTGTTGTCTGTTGTCACTCAGCTCTCTCAGTTGTCTGTCTGTTATCTGTCTGTTGTCACTCAGCTCTCTCAGCTCTCTCTCAGCTATATGTCAGCTATCAGCTCTCTGTCTGTTGTCTGTCTGTTGTCACTCAGCTCTCTCAGCTGTCTCTCAGCTATATGTCAGCTATCAGCTCTCTGTCTGTTGTCTGTCTGTTGTCACTCAGCTCTCTCAGCTCTCTCAGCTTATCACCTCCCGCCCCCGGCTCTCCTCGCTCAGCCCCCTCAGCTCTCTCACCCTATCTTCGCTGCGCCCCCGCCCCCTCCCCCCCCCCCGCCCCCCGGCCCCCCGCCCGCTATCAGCTCTCTGTCTGTTGTCTGCCTGTTGTCTGTCTGTTGTCACTAGCTCTCGCAGCTCGCTCAGCTCTCTCTTTGTATGTTTTCTTACTCTAATCTATACTAATTAATTTTTAAATGTTGTACTTATCTTGTATCATATAAAAGCGAATATTTAGAGAAATCTAAGGCTAGAACTCATCGAAAACCAGTTTTTCGGCTTAGGCTTTCAGCTAAGCTTTATTAGACGTTTCTTCGTGCAGAATCATCAAATCTACGATTGCACAATTAAAAAAGAGAGCGAGTCACTCGAAAAAGCCCTAAAGACTATTACTAGATACTGGATCCTTTTTGACCTAGTTCTAATTCTTTCAAAGTCAAATTTGTACTTTAACTTGTACTCAACTACCTGAGTGTGGAGACGTCGTTGAGGGGTAAATCTTGTCCTTGTGGATTTTCGGATGGTGATACGTCGAGGTTGACGTGTTTATACGCGTGCATATCGAAGAATGGCATATTGATGGCTGGCTGTTGAATTGGCCAGGTGAGATAGGGGTGATCACCGGTCTGAATAAAGGATGATGACAGTTTGCTGACGTTCAGCGCTGGCTAAGAGCTTTGTCTAATTATATTGCCTTATAGGGTATAGGACTCCGAACTCTCGAGGTGCATACGCCCATCAGACCTTCATCGGAATTGGAATAAATTGGAATAAATTTGACTGGAATAACTGGAAATGGACAAAAAAATACGCTTCTCGGGAAAGGGTTTTCATTTCAGCAATGACAAATGATGCAATGATAAAAACAAATAAAATTTGGACTGATCGAATGAAAACTGTGTCTAAATAAATGCCATTAAACAGAAGAAAGCGTTGCACGGAAATCCCTCGAATTTACCTCAAATTTCACCAACTCACGATTTTCCAATCCTTAAGCACAAATCACATGCGGTTTGGCCCCTTTCCCGAGCAGTTTGTCCACTTTACCATCATCACTTTTTCATTCATTTCCCTCCCCTTCTGGCATCTACTATATCAGTTGTCTGTCTGTTGTCACTCAGCTTTCCAGAATCATCATCAAATTGCACAATTAAAAAAGAGAGCGAGTCACTCGAAAAAGCCCTAAAGACTATTACTAGATACTGGATCCTTTTTGACCTAGTTCTAATTCCTTCAAAGTCAAATTTGTACTTTAAATCTCAACTACCTGAGTGTGAAGACGTCGTTGAGCGGTAAATCTTGTCCTTGTGGATTTTCGGATGGTGATACGTCGAGGTTGACGTGTTTATACGCATATCGAACAATGGCATATTGATGGCTGGCTGATCACCGGTCTGAATATAGGATGATGACAGTTTGTTGACGGTTCTCAGCGCTGGCTAAGAGCTTTGCATCTAATTCAATTGCCTTATAGGCTATAGGACTCGAACCCTCGAACCCTCGAACCCTCGAATCCGAATCGAGTGGTTAGTGCACGCCCATCAGGGAAGCGTGATAGAAAAGCGTTTGCAAAAAACTAATTAGAGATTCTGGAATCAGCTGTCCAAACTAACCAGAGGTTTTTTTGGTAATCAACCAAACCCCGAAGAAATGATGCACTACGCCCGGGAGGACACTATTTACTGTATTGCTATGATCTGCTACGGGAAAGACTTTTGCAGTGTGATTGATTGTGGAATTTCTCTACATTCTACTGTATTCTCTCTATTAGTGCAGCCAAAACCTCGTCTACATCCCTCAAAATCTCGAGAACCTTCTAGATTTAATTGATCGCTTTTTGGAGGACTTCAACTTACCAAGCTGGCTATTTTATAGTTTATCTTCTAGAAGTGCTTGTCTAGTTTTGAAGATTTCAAACAGATTTCTAGGCAGCCAAATTTCGATCAGAAGCTCAGGAGTTGATTTTGTTGAGAAATAAGGTAAAGATCTAGATTCTAGCCTTGCCTAGATGCTTGGTAAAGCCAGCCGACGTAGAGAAGAGAGAAGACGGTGAATCAAATGCCAACCTGTCTACGAATTATATGTGAATGATGTCCGGATGGTGTTTGTGATTGATTCGGTGTCTGGGATGGGATTTGCGAGGCTGAGTGAGCTGCTGCTGAGGTGGCAAGACTCTACGCCGGCACCAGGAACATTGGGAGACCCGTTGCCTGGAAAAAGGCCTGGAATTCGAAGTGAAATCGTAATTTATTGAAGCACTGAATTCTTGTAACAGTATTATAAAGGGTTTTCATTTCAGCAAAACAATGAAAGAATGAAAATAGCTTACTTTAATTCTTCAGCTTGATTGAATATCTTTAGAAATTGAAGAGTTTAAAAGATATAAAAATAAAAATAAAAAGTCATATTTGACTGTTTTTCTCTAGTTTTCCTCATTAAAACAATTCTAGAATGTTAAAGTAGTTTAAAACTTTCCAAAGTTTTAGAGTTTTGTTTTGTCATTTTGATTGCTTTTGTTTGTTTCAAATCCAAAAAAACTTTTTGAGTAAACAGATTTTCAAAATATTTAGTGTGCGTTTCAAAATAATTTAACTGAAGCTAAAACCTTGAGTTTAATGTATGTCTGGTGCTAGGCCGTCTTTACTTAATTAAAATCGCTTCTTTCTAGCCTCAGCTGCTTCTTTTCATTACCCTATTAAAACAATTCTTTCTGCATTAGAGTTGTAAGTTTCAAAGTAATCAACTTCTGGCTCAATTTTGCGTTTAGAGTTCGTTTTTCGCTTTTCCATTTCCCCCATGAAAACATTGCCGTGTTTGAACGAAGCGTTTTGAAATTCGAGGCACTTTGTTCAGCTTACATGAATTTCTCGTAGCTCTTTCAGGTCGACCCTCAACTGATCCCTTTCTTGCTAAATGAGAGTTTCTCTATAATATATTACTCTAATAGACTCAAAAGTAAATACTCTAACAGAAGCCCACAGAAGCGTCACGGTCCACTCAAACAATCTCAACACAACACAACACTCAGTATTATCATCTTTTAATAATTTTTCTAAGCGCTCGTTGATGTTAAAAGATGTGTTATATCTCAAAAAAATCACTTATTTTCTCTTCAAATGATACCTAGGCGCATCGAAAAATTTAGGTGTAACAATTATTCTATGAGGCTCTCAGAGGCTCTAGATAAGCTCTGGAAGCTCTAGATAAGTTCTAAAGCCCTAGAAAATAGAGCTAGAAAATAGAAGCAATAAGTAAGAGTATTCTTGATTTTTCTAGAGCAGCTCTCAACCCTGAAAAATGTTTGGAATCTGGAATTTGGATAGTATATAATCAGAGTAGGGTGTAAACTTGGTGCCCGTTCACCTATCAACTTCTTTCTGATTTGTCTCAGCGAGATCATAAAATCAGATGTCTTTTGACAGGAAAATTTCCCATTTTCCGAATCATATGACCCTTCAGAAGCCGCCTATCTAAACGTTTCTGCTGCGATTTCCCACCAGGCACTGGTCGGTTTCAGATTATTTCTACATCCAAGAAAAGGTTTTCGGAGCTTGAGTTGTTTTCGAGCTGAGCTGCAGCTAGATCTGAGTTGTAGCTTGAGTTGTGAAAGCTTGATCTCTAAGCTTGACCTTGGGCCGGGCTTGATCCGTAGCTGGACCTTGATCTGTAGCTGGTCTGTAGCTGGACCTTGAGTCGTAGCTGATCTGTAGCAGGACCTTGAGCTCTGGCGGTCTGTAGCTGGACCTTGATCTGGTAGCTGGAGTCTGTGGCTGGACCTTGATCTGTAGCTGGATCTGTCCAGCTGGACCTTGAGTGGAATAGCTTGATCTGTAGCAGGACAGGGGCTCTAGCTTGATCATTGGCTGGACCTTGAGTCGTAGCTTGACCTGTAGCCAGGGACCTTGGGCTCTAGCTTGATCTGTAGCTGGACGCTTGATCTGTTGCTAGAATCTGTAGCTGGACCATTGGCGAGTCGTAGCTAGATCTGTAGCTGGACCTTGAGTTGTGGCTTGATCTGTAGCTAGATCTGTAGCTGGACCTTGAGCTGTAGCAGCAGCAGCAGGCTGCGGCTAGATCTGTAGCTGTATATTGAGTCGGAGGCTAGACCTGTAAGCTGTCATGTTGAGTGGTAGCTTGATCTGTAGCTAGATCTGTAGCTGGACCTTGAGTTGCAGCTAGATCTGTGGCTGGATCTGATCCAGTCACCTAACATGCTTTAGCTCTTAGTCCACGAAAGTAATTATTTTACTTTATTGCACTTTTATTGGTTCCTTTTTTTAGTTAAAACAACCGCCAGGATTCAATCGCCTAATGTTGCAAAACCGAAGTCTAGAAGCTCTTTTACTTCAACAAGCTCTAGCTGCTGCTCAAAAATAGTAAGTCCTAAAGAAAGATTTGATCTCTACTTGTTTATTGTAAGTAATACAATAGTTCCAAAAAGTAATGCCATTCAAAAGTAATTCAAAAGTCTTTTTCAAGCAGAATTCACTCTTAAAAATTCCTCCTATTTGAAAATACTTTAGAAATTCTAATTGTTAAATAAATTTGATTGAGATCCCTTCAATCGATGTGGAATTACCCCTAAAACTCCACAAAAGTAATGCCCCATTGATCGATTATTCTCCTTGTTTCTCCTTCTATAAACGTTAAATGTATTCTATTACCTCAAATAAAAATCTTTGACACGCCGAAGGGCTCCAAATCGCTTAGGCCCGGGAAAATGGGATGCAGGAAAGAGGGCGTAGCCAACCTCTTCAATTGCTCCGCAGTGCATGCATTTTTTTCTTAATCCATAAAAAACCTTCATCGCCTCAAGAGTGGCCGACGACCCATAACAAGATTTGCCCTTACAAAACCTAGTTGTTGAATGGCAATAGAGGGGATTCCTTTTGTGGACCACTGTTAAATCAATTTTTATATAATTAAAAGCAATTTTGAAAGCCTATTTTGATCCAATTCTTCTAAAATTTGATCAAAAGGTTTCCAAAGCCAACAAAGCGAAAGCCAAGCAATAAACATTTCGAAATTGATTTAGTTGTTTGAAATTTTTATAAAATAGGAGAATTTCATTCCGTTGTAGAGAATTTCATTTTCATCTCGGAAATATTACTGGATTAGATGCTTTTCGTGGGCAACAAATGATACAACAAGGATCTGTGGCAACATCTATTCCAGCCCAAGCTCCAGCTCCTCTTGGCCTTCCACGGGTTTCGGTTAAATCCTGAGGGTTTCTAAAGAGGAGTAATTCTGAGTTTAAATATAATTCTAAGGGTTTCTAGAGTAATTCTAAGCTTTTAAAGAAATTCTGAGGGTTTTTTAAGATAATTCTGAGTTTAAAAGAGATTAATAGGGAAATCTAAACAAAATCAGTCAATCTTTATCCATTCTAGATAATCGTTTTATCCTTTTAGACCCTCAAACAACCTACTGATGCAATTTCTCCGCGTCCAGCAGTTCCTGATGATCCAGCTCAAGCCAATGAATCTTTGGATGCAACTACAGCTGTTTACAGCAAGCTCAAGCTGTTGCTGCTCAAGCTACTGCTCGAAGCTGCTGCTCAAGCTGTTGCTGCTCAGGCCTGCTGCTCAGCTGCTCAACTCAAGCTGCTGCTAATCGGCGAAAAAAATACGATGAGAACTTCGGCGACGCCGTTGGGCTAAATTCCCGCTCTGGCGCTGGCTTTGGCTGCCGCTCTCAGTTTGAGTCAGAGGATTTTTAGCTGGACTCTGAGGTGAGCGTAGCTTTCGTTGATTAGCGAATCTTTGAGGGCGCACCGCTTAGTCGACCAGCTACGGCGAATAGTCGGGAAGTGCTGGAGAGGGAGGATGATCAATGCCTCTCCCAAATCTTACCGAAAAGTCATCTGGAAACTACTTTCTATGAAAGGGACTGTTGGGCAAAGGGATTCCAATAGGTAGGTTGATTAGAGTTGCCAGAAAAGCTACAGTAGGACAATTTGAAACAGTAGAAAAGACGAAAGAGACAAGAATCGAAATTGAAAATGGATTAGCCTTAGCTGGCTTAGCCAACCTTAGCTTTATTTGTGCCTTGGCTCATGCAGATTCAACTTTCTGCCAAGCAAACGATCTCGCAATCTCACAGCTATTTTAGCCTTTGTTAGATAAGCTCTTATCATTTAAAAAGCTCTTTAAATCATTGAATCATCATTTATTGTCAAATCAATGGATTACGGTAGTTTAAATAAGAAAATAGAATGATAAAATGTAAGAATTCAGCCCAGCCATCGGCCGACCACAATCAGACGCGGGGAATGGGTGCGTTTTGACAGAGTTTCAAGCGAAGCTCAAGATAAGCCTTCTGTAGAAACTGGAGATAACTGCGTTGCATATGGACGATGGAATTCAAAAACAATCTTTCCCATAAAATTCTCGATTTTACGCATCTGATAAGCCTTCTCCCAATATTCTAACTTTGGATTCTCCCTCGAGAACATATCTCCTCCTCATTAGCAATTTTTTGAACCTTTTTGCTCTTACTAGATTATCACCATGGTTGTATTTCGAACCTTTTTCTGTTTTTGCTTATTAAAGGCTCGTCAGAGGCTTTCCAGCATCGACTTCCGAAAACCTCTCCAGAGATTACCATAATGCCCTCTGCTCCAATGGAAACAAAACCAGATATAAATCGATTGTGCAGGACTAGGAGATAATGGACCCAAATTTGGAGAGTCATTCATTTTAATTTGAATGCCCTAAATTCTTCGTTTTTGGTCGTTGAGTTGACTTTTGAGTAGTTAACCTTGAAATGAGGGAGAAGCACACCTGAAAGTAATCCATTAGCTAGTGTGCATTCCAGGAATGGAACTTTGCTTCAGGAATAGAGAAAGATTCAACTAGTATATTCCGACTAGTTTGATCTCAAAATCGGGTTATCAACCAAAGAAGAATGAAGAAAAGCTACCCCAGAAAAACGCATCCATTAACTAGTGTGCATTCCGGAATGCAACTCTGATTTAGGGGAATATCGCAACATTCAACAAGTACTACGAGATTCAACACGAGATTTCTTAATGCACTCAATTTGATCTTTAAATTAGCTGAATATCTTTTACACTTGATCTTTAATGCAATGGCTTTATTAAATAGTTTATTTTGAAAATTTATTTGGTTTTTATTCTTTATTCCAGGTGCTCTCCTCGGCCTTTCACAGTCCGTTTTGGGTCCTTCACATCAAGCTCAGCAACAAACAACACAAGAGCAACATCGTCATCGACAAACACATCAATCACAACAACATCGATCAGGTAAACTAAATCTGTACTTGCTTGCCTACCTCATGTGGGCAAGAATCTTAGGGGTCGATACCGAATTATCTTTCAATTTTCCCATTCAATAGCTTCGCCTGTGCTCCCACTGCTCCCGCATTTGTTGTCGCCCTTCCACCGGTGGAAGATCCAGAGAGCTCAGCAGAGCCTGCCAGGTCGACATCGAGTCGATGGAAGAGTTTGTATGCAAATGGGCAACATGCGGGAAAGAGTTCACAACCAAACAGGTAGTGTGTATAGTTATTATTCCCAAAAATCGTCCCAATTCAGCCCTTCTTGATCATGTTAAAACCATTCATGTCAATCCATGTATTGGTACATTTGTGGTGGGAAGATTGTAAGAGGTAGGAGTAAATCAAATATATTAGGTGAATAAGCCTTTTCCTTCTTTTTTTATCTTCCCTTTCAACAACCTAATAACTCTAAAAGTTCAGGTGGTACTTTAGAAACAAAAGCCCTTCGACGCTAACTACAAGTTGGTGGGTCATCGATATCACTGGAGAGAAACCGCACAGATGTAGGTGTTGGATGTTCAAAGGAATACGGGCGCGTCGAGACGTCAAAGTCCACAAACGATCTCACACGGGCGAAAAGCCATACAAGTGTACCGAATGGGAAAGGTATACAATCACTTCAATACAGGCCAATCCATTGTTTCAGGCGTTCAGTAATTATAGTGATCAAGCCAAACACCAAAATCAAACCCATTCAAATGTGGTGAGCTAATAAAGGAAGAATTTAACAAAGTACCACAATTTAGAAGCGTTCAGTGTCAATGAAGGATGTCCAAGGCTGTACACCGATCGAGGAAGCCTGCAAGCACTTTAGAGGGAATCACGTGATAAGATGAATGAAAAGAAAAAGTTAATGGAAGCTGGTAAACGATGGCCGGTAAAGCTGGTAAACGATGGCCGGTAAACGACCTCAAGTAGCTTGTCCAACAACACTCTTGGTGGCTATGCTGAACAAATTCCAATTGGTGAAATGCAACTACAGAGAATGCCTCTCAGCCTGGGCCCAAGCAGTTCATATTTAAAGCTCATAGCATATTCCCCTCTCCCCCATTCCCTTTTAGGTCTTCCCCCTGTTGTCATCTTGGGGGGAGGTCTTAGAGGGGAATATGCTATGAGGGAGTATAACTAGTTGAACTAGTTCTGCAAGAGAACTGCAAGAGAACGACGAAAAGGGAAGAGTACGATAGCTTTATTTTCTTTATTTTCTAGAGAAATTCTTCAACAAGAATATTCCCCTCTCCCCCATTCCCCCTTTCTTTTTTCCCCTTTCGGGGCAAAAAATCCATCGGCGGGTCTCGTCTCTTTTCCACCAGTCACGAGTCGGTGGGTAGTCTCCTTCATCCCCGATAATGAGGGTTTTTTGAGAACGTGCGGACTTTAGATGGAAAGAAATAAAAAACCGAAAATAATTAGGAGTGCTCGCTCAAATGGAAAAATATAAATTTATGATCGTTATACTGGCGCGTAAAAAACTGACCCATTTGAGAAATTCTTCAACAAGAATTGCTTTTACTTTTCTAAGTTAAAGTTTTCACTTTGTTTTAAACTATAATATCTGACAAATCCAAGACCTTCTCCATTTTTCCGGTGAATAGCGAAGGAAACTCGAATGGGGGAAAATTCGCGAAATGAGTACGCGAGGACTTCTGTGATGAATCGTTCTCAAAGAATAACACCGTTTGAGGACATTGTCACGTGTGAATGTGTGAAATGTGATCGACGATTGCATCAGTGAAAAGTGAGGTGTGCTTTTTCATGGCAATCAAATTTTATTGTTCTGTGATTACAATTTTCAAATAAAAATAGTTACAATATGACACGGATTTCAAAGGTTGGGGTTTAAATTTAAATTTCAAGGACTAGATGTATAACTCAAGATTTATTTAAACAGCTTGTAACCACAAAGAAAGAACTGGTTTTTGTTAGTTTTACCCTTTTAGGGCTTGTAGTACGTAGTCTTGTGCAGCAATTCAGTTCCAACTGTTTGATTACAAAGTATTAGTTTAAGAAAATGACAATTTTTCAAAAATGTAACGAATTTCCTCTTTCAGCTCAAAAATAGACCCCGAGAAAACACCGAAAAAAATGATTCTTGTAAAGAAAAAGTTTAAACTTTCAAAATATGTGCCAATTTTTTTTATTTTCACTTTGTTTAGGTATTAGTTTCTATGGATGTCTTTATTTGGCCGTATTCTGCTGTGAATATTTTGTTTTTTCTTGAATCTCATTATTTTCTCATTCTGTCTGTCAAATGATGCTCATTTTGTGCCCTCATTTTGTTCTTTTTACCCTTATTCCATTTCGTGTAATAAAGTTTAGGATTTAAAGTTTATATAAAAGAAGTAATTTCTCAAAAAGAATGATGATTGAATGGGTCCAGAAATCAATGAAAAACTAAGATTTCATTTGAAAAGATCAAATGATTGCATTCACAAAAAAACAAATAAAATTTGGACTGATCGAATGAAAACTGTGTCTAAATAAATGCCATTAAACAGAAGAAAGCGTTGCACGGAAATCCCTCGAATTTACCTCAAATTTCACCAAGTAATTATAGTGATCAAGCCAAACACCAAAATCAAACCCATTCAAATGTGGTGAGCTAATAAAGGAAGAATTTAACAAAGTACCACAATTTAGAAGCGTTTCAAGTGTCAATATGAAGGATGTCCGAAGGCTTACACCGATCGAGGAAGCCTCCGCAAGCACTTTAGAGGGAATCACGGTGATAAGATGAATGAAAAGAAAAAGAAAATGAACAAGTTAATGGAAGCTGGCAAACGATGGCCGAAAAAGGTTTAGAAAAAACACAAAATTAATTTTAACATTTTAATATTATGATTAAGAGCAAGAAGGGTTGTGGCTCAAAATATCGTGAAAGCAACATCAGGCCTGGCTCTGGAGGGCGAGAAGGTGAGACGAGTGCGAAAAGTGGAAACGAGAAGCCGATCAGTGGGCTTCGGCTCAACGTTGAAGGATATCTCACTGCTGATGCAGAATTGGGAGAAAGTTTGTTACGAAATTATTTCGCAAATCAAAACACTTGATTTCAGTCGCAGAATCGGAAGCAATTGAGCTGGGACTTCCAGAAGGGAGACGTGAAGGCAATCAAATCTACAGAAGTGGCAACTTCGGGCCGGTTCGTCAAAAAGAACGTTCATTAACAAAGCAGATTTAGCTTTATGAACAAACTGGACGCATGCGGGTTGCTGGCTATGAAGAAGATCAAGACATAGCTGAGCTTGTTAGTGTCAAATCAATCAGTGAGCAAGTTCGAGCCAAACACCAAAACGCCCATTCAGATGAGGTGAGCTAATAAAAGAAGATTTTAACAAAGTACCACAATTTAGAAGCGTTACCTGCGCGGTTATCAAGGATGTCCGATGGCTTACACCGATGGACAACGATGGACAAATGGCCCTGACTCGGCAGGACCTTCATCGGAATTGGAATAAATTGGAATAAATTTGACTGGAATAACTGGAAATGGACAAAAAAATACGCTTCTCGGGAAAGGGTTTTCATTTCAGCAAAACAATGAAAGAATGAAAATAGCTTACTTTAATTCTTCAGCTTGATTGAATATCTTTAGAAATTGAAGAGTTTAAAAGATATAAAAATAAAAATAAAAAGTCATATTTGACTGTTTTTCTCAATTCTAACTTAGAATTGAATGATGATTGAATGGGTCCAGAAATCAATGAAAAACTAAGATTTCATTTGAAAAGATCAAATGATTGCATTCACAAAAAAACAAATAAAATTTGGACTGATCGAATGAAAACTGTGGGGTGGATTTGTCTAAATAAATGCCATTAAACAGAAGAAAGCGTTGCACGGAAATCCCTCGAATTTACCTCAAATTTCACCAACTCACGATTTCCAATCGCCAAAGCACAAATCACATGCGGTTTGGCCCCTTTCCCCCGAGCGGTTGTCCACTTTACCATCATCACTTTTTCATTCATTTCCCTCCCCTTCTGGCACATCTACTTTTATATCAGTTGTCTGTCTGTTGTCACTCAGCTTTCCAGAATCATCATCAAATTGCACAATTAAAAAAGAGAGCGAGTCACTCGAAAAAGCCCTAAAGACTATTACTAGATACTGGATCCTTTTTGACCTAGTTCTAATTCCTTCAAAGTCAAATTTGTACTTTAAATCTCAACTACCTGAGTGTGAAGACGTCGTTGAGCGGTAAATCTTGTCCTTGTGGATTTTCGGATGGTGATACGTCGAGGTTGACGTGTTTATACGCATATCGAACAATGGCATATTGATGGCTGGCTGTTGAATTAAGTTGGTTGTTAAAGTGACCTTGTGATCTTGTGATGCTCACGCGAACAAGGCTGGGGTAGAATTTCTCTACATTCTACTGTATTCTCTCTATTAGTGCAGCCAAAACCTCGTCTACATTCCTCAAAATCTCGAGAACCTTCTAGATTTAATTGATCGCTTTTTGGAGGACTTCAACTTACCAAGGTGGCTATTTACAGAAACTTAAACTAACTCTTGAGTTGGCTTAGTTGCTTAAATTTCATTTTCCAAGTCCAATTTTGCCAAAAAAACTTGCACACTTTTCAAACAAAACATCAATTTATCACCAAGCAACCCTTTAGGACTCAAAATTCACAGCAGACCACCCAAAACACAATTTCATTTTATTATTTTCAAAATATTTATTTTCCCCACCAGTCTCGACTAAAGAATAGAATTTTTAAATAGAATTTTTTGAAGCAAAGGAGAAAATGCCCCATATTCTTCCCAGTCGGGCTTTATCCGGGTTTTCTCTGAAACCTCTCGAATCTCTCAAATATTTTGCCGGTAAAAGAGAGGCTATGGTCCCTTATGTCCCTTCTTATACTCCCTCATAGCATATTCCCCTCTCCCCCATTCCCTTTTAGGTCTTCCCCCTGTTGTCATCTTGGGGGGAGGTCTTAGAGGGGAATATGCTATGAGGGAGTATAACTAGTTGAACTAGTTCTGCAAGAGAACTGCAAGAGAACGACGAAAAGGGAAGAGTACGATAGCTTTATTTTCTTTATTTTCTAGAGAAATTCTTCAACAAGAATATTCCCCTCTCCCCCATTCCCCCTTTCTTTTTTCCCCTTTCGGGGCAAAAAATCCATCGGCGGGTCTCGTCTCTTTTCCACCAGTCACGAGTCGGTGGGTAGTCTCCTTCATCCCTGATAATGAGGGGTTTTTTTGAGGAACGTGGGGACTTTAGATGGAAAGAAATAAAAAACCGAAAATAATTAGAGGAGTGCTCGCTCAAATGGAAAAATAAATTTATGATCGTTATACTGGCGCGTAAAAACTGACCCATTTGAGAAATTCTTCAACAAGAATTGCTTTTACTTTTCTAAGTTAAAGTTTTCACCTTGTTTTAAACTATAATATCTGACAAATCCAAGACCTTCTCCATTTTTTCGGTGAATAGCGAAGGGAAACTCGAATGGGGAAAATTCGCGAATGAGTACGCGAGGACTTCTGTGATGAATCGTTCTCAAAGAATACACCGTTTGAGGACATTGTCACGTGTGAATGTGTGAAATGTGATCGACGATTGCATCAGTGAAAAGTGAGGTGTGCTTTTTCATGGCAATCAAATTTTATTGTTCTGTGATTACAATTTTCAAATAAAAATAGTTACAATATGACACGGATTTCAAAGGTTGGGGTTTAAATTTAAATTTCAAGGACTAGATGTATAACTCAAGATTTATTTAAACAAGCTTGTAACTCAAAGAAAGAACTGGTTTTTATTAGTTTTACCCTTTTAGGGCTTGTAGTACAAGTCTTGTGCAGTAAATTTCAGGCTATTCAGGTATGCATCTAACATAAAGACAAGCCTCGTCAGCTGGCCTTGGCTTTTTGCAATCTACTTCGTCAGCATTCCAAGGAAGCCAACACCACCATGGCAACAAAGCCAAAATGACCGGAAATAAGGAAAGCATGAAGGCAAAAATGAAGAATTTCATGTTTTTTTAAAAAAGCAAAAAAATTAAATATTTGTTTTTAATATTGGTTTAGTACAATATAGGTGGAATCTAATGCGTAAAAACACTATCCTAAAAATAGACAATGTTGATGAGATTCTACACTGGAAAGTGTAGAATACAAATATTTGAATTGACAAAAAGATTGACAAGAAGTGTATCGACCAATTTCATTACGACATCACATATTTTTCAAAAATCTGAATCAGAATCTGAGCCAATCAGGGACTGAATTGGAACAGAATCTGAATCAGAATCTTGATAATTTTGACCGATCGCTCTGTCTATAAGCTGCAAATGTGACTTCTATTTGTAGAGAAAATTTCAGAGAAGTCGGTGAAGATTGGTCAGGAAAACAATGGTCGATTAGGTTCGGATTTGGATTTCCCTATGGATGTACTTGTGTTCCTTAATATACCTAATAGTAGTGCACCTGAGCATCGCCATTGCTCGGAATCTCGAGAACCGCTTATCAGAACCTATCGATGTGGGGTTGTAAAATGTAGCTAGTGAGATCGATGAGATCTAGTGAGGGATTAAAGTGTTGAGCTTCTGCAAAAGCTTGGAAACCTAAAATAGTCACCAACTCGGTCGCCGGATCCACTATATTAGAGAAAATACGGAATTCACGCGAAAATTTTGAAAGAAATTTCAGCTTTTTCGAATTGTTAGCCACTTCATCTCATAATCCGGCGTGTCACTCGTCTCTTCTCGGCTCGAAAAGCAATTTTCATCTATAAATTCTTTTCCTCGTAATTTCTTGTTGTGGGACCTCTTTCTGTCTAAATCTATCTTTTCTGTAGAAAACCCATTTTCACGCCTATGTGCCACTTTCCATTAATGGCCACTTTTATTAATTAAAGATCTAAAATTCTACCCTTCCAGAGTATTTTCAAAGCAACGGTGATTTTCAAGCAATTCAAAACCTTCTTTCTTGGAAATTCTTCCGATAAAGCTATTTTTCTTTATCGGAAGATCAATCTTCCCTTTCATCATCTTTTTTCTGCAAAAAATTTCCACGATTTCCACTAGCCAAAACTAAAATCTAATTTGAATGGGCCAATTTAAAACATTCTCCCATTTAAAATTTTATAACCCTTCTTTGCTTCATCCTCTGCCTCAAGCGAGGATATAGAAACATACGAAAAAATTTGAAAGCATGATTAAAATGCATTTTAATCAGTTTCTAGTTTATTGATTTAAAAGCAATTTTCATCTATAAATTCTTTTCCTCGTAATTTCTGGCGTGGGATCTCTTCTGTTTAGAATCTATCTTTTCCTTACCTGAGGTAGGATAATTGTTTAAAACCAGGTTCCATTGATCTAAAAGCCAAGTTACAGATTAAGCTTCTAAGAAACCTTTTACCGGAAAAACAATTTTTTGTTGCTTTCAAACAACATTTTAAATACGATTTGCTGATTGAAATGCTTATTAAAAGCCGTCAAGCCAAGTCTTAAACTTAAAATTCACAAAATAAAGAACTCATTATTAAAACCATATGGTGATTTTTTCAATTTTTTTATTTCCCTTTGCCGCTGACTAAAAGCATCACCCTGGACACTTCACGCTTCATAACTCAACTAAATTTCTAAGCTATGATTGCTTTAAAATGTCCAGGGGAACACGATAAAGAGCGGGACGGGTTGAATGGAAATTTTTTATTGGGATTGCTACATTAATTGCTCAATGACTAGAAATTGACGGAAAAAATGCGAAAAGATTGAAAAGATCCTGATTAGAATCGCCTCTTTGACCGAATAAAAACCTTGAGTAATACCATAACATGTTACAGTATCCTGTCTACTGTAAGGATACTGTAGTTCAAGCTCTTTCCTCGCCACAGTTTACCTTGTGCATTGAAAATTCTAAAACTCAACTTTCTTTTAAGACTGTAAGAGGTATCAGTCTTGGTAGATAGGTATTTTGAGGCTAGGCATGCTGTAGCTAGATAATAGAGAGCTATGTTACAGTAGGACATCGGCTCTAGTTTCGAGAGGGATCAGAATCTGACCAATCGGCTCTAGCTTCGAAAAAATCAGAATCTGAACCAATCAGGGACTAAATTGGAACAGAATCTAAATCTGATCCTGAACCAATCAGGGACTAAATTGGAACAGAATCTGAATCAGAATCTAAACCAATCAGGGACTGAATTGGAACAGAATCAGAATCTGAACCAATCAGGGACTGAATTGGAACAGAATCTGGATCTGAATCTGAACCAATCAGGGACTAAATTCGAACAGAATCTGAACCAATCAGGGACTGAATTGGAACAGAAGCTGAATCTATTTAAAACCTATTTAAGACAAAAATAATCAAACCAAAAATAAATTTTATCAAAATTGATTTAAAACTAATTGATTTAAAAAAAAGTGGGATGCGGGTTTTTTTTCCAAAAATGAGCCACATTATTACCATTTTCTTGTATTATTTCAAAGTTTCAAAGACC